TCAGGTTTGTTTCAGATTGGTTGTGTTTGGGAGCCTAGTGTTGCTGCCCAGATTTTTGGACCTTCGCTCGAGCTAGGAGTTGGTCGCTCGAGCGAGAGTTGAGTTCGTGTCTGGTGGATCGAGCCAGAGTAGCTTTGCTCGAGCGAGCGCTTGCACCTGGTTCTGGACCTGAGAGTTGCATTTCTTGGCTCGAGCGAGCTTTTCTTGGCTCGAGCGGTCTGGTTTGTTCTTCGCTCGAGCGAGAGGTCTGTCGCTCGAGCGTGCTTCTGGTTACAGACCTGAGGGTTTGAGTTGTTGGCTCGAGCGAGCATTCTTTCGCTCGAGCGCACTTTTGAGTTTTTGGCTCGAGCGAGAACTTCTTGGCTCGAGCGAGAGTTTCTGTGTCTGGTCGCTCGAGCGACAAAGGCTTCGCTCGAGCGAGCGTGTTTTTTTTAGTGTAATTATTTGTATTTTGTGCTTAAAAATGATGTGTATCCGCTAGTTAAACCTCGGTGTATTGTTGTATTATATTATAAAAATTTGGGGCATCACAACTTGGTGTCAAAGCTTAGGTTCAATCCTTACCCACGCATTTCGACTTGCGATTAGAAACAACCTTGCCACTGATTATATTACATTATGATAACACTACTTAGTCTAGGAACTAGAAGATGTCAAAAAAAATAAAATTTTCCCGACCAACCCTAGGATGTTTCTTCGAATTTCGGGCATGGCAATGTTGATTAGTGAAAGTATATAGTCGTGAGCCGACGATTCCAGGATTGGTACCGGGCACTGAAGAAAGCCTTTTAGATAAGGGTGGTGGAAGTAGAATTTCATGATGAAAAAAAGTTAGGCTCAATCAGCAAACTGAAACATGCAATTTCCCCAATGCGATCGAAAGTAGTGATGGAGTCGATGGTTGAGTGAGACTACTTTTTTATGCTTATCTTTGTGAAGTGTAGATACAGCTCATATGCTTGTCTAGAGAAGTGAAGATAGAGCTCATATGCTTATCTTTGTGAAGTGTGGATATAGCTTATATGCATATCTGTGGATATTGTGGTTATACATATCTGTTGTAGAATGTGGATATAGCTTATATGCTTATCTGTGAATGTGGATATTGTTGTTACACATATCTGTTGAGTATGTGGATAGAGTTCATATGCCTATCTGGTTGAAAAAGGGAAAATGAAAGGTAACTTGGACTCATAAGTCGTATGACATAAATATGTGATTTATGTGAATGTATCAGTGTTGGCCATCTATCAATTGCTAATCTTTTAGTCATTGTTCATGGTTGGTTTAGTATATTTCTACTGGGCTGTGGCTCACCCTTTATGGGAATATCATTTTCAGGTACAGGTAGCATGCCACCTCCAAGGACATAGCTTGGGAGGCTAGAGGCGGACATACTATTGTCGTTTTACTTTTTGATGTATTACATGTAAATTCAAGCCAAGGGCTTAATGTGTATAAGTTAGTACTCTTTTGTTGTAACCAAGTGTTAACTTGGAAAGCTGTAAGCCCATAGGGCATTTGCTTTTGTTGTTAACATGTAATACTTATTGTAATGAAACTCTGATAAATGAAAGAATGTGGGACTTTTGAATATCAATGCATGTCTTATTTAATGGTTTAATGTTATTATTTTTGAGGGCGTTACATAGATTACATTATGCATGTATATGACATGTATTGAGGATTGGTTTTAAATCTAGCGGTTAGGTCCAGGTCTTCCAAGCAGGGAAGACCAGCAAGCCACTGCAGGTTCTCAACGTTCATAATACTTGTAAAGCTGAGCAAACGTAAACTCGACAAGTTTCCAAGCTGATGGGGAATTGTTCCCACAAATCCTGTGTTGGACAAGTTGGTATATTACAGTTGTGTCATAGAAGCAATGACTGGTGGGAATGATAAATCCATGAAATTATTTTCACTCAGATCCAGGTACTTGAGGTGCTTCAATTTTTGCAAACAAGGATTTATTTTACCATTCAAAATGGTATTTTATTTCATATTCTTGCATCAGCAGCAGGGAACACCCCCTCTCCAAACAAAAAAAATTGGCGTTATTTGAAAAAACGCCACAAAATGACGTCATTGTAGGGAGCAGCACAAATTAAAAAAATAAAAAAAACAAAAAAATAAAAAAACAGTAACGCCACTAAATGACGTCATTGTGACGTCACACGTTAATTTGGGACAGAGGATGAGACGGTCGTCAAAGATTTTATGGCGTTTTAAGAAACGCCGTCTAATATTTTTAGCAACATTTTTTAAACGTTGGGTAGCTATTGCGGCGACCCTATCAGCGGTGAAAGTTTTACACGTCACTATAAGATATTACGGCGTTTTTCAGGCTTTTCGCAGCGTTTTGCCGCTAAAAAATGAATTTCCTGTAGTGTCAGTACTAGGTTAAGCCTTTCAACTCATAGCCTTCTGATGGTGCAAAAGAAAGTATTTAGTTGTTTGTGTTTCGGGGTCTTATCCCCCGACATTGCGAACACAGAGAGACAGATCTGGAAAGAAGAAAAAGAGGTGACGGCGATGTCGAGATTAATGGGTTGCGATCGCGATGGCTAGGGTCATGGATGGCAGTCGCTTGCAGAGGTAGGAGATGGGCGATGGTGGTGGATCGGCGGTCGTAGGGGTCTGTAACGGCAGTGGATCGGCAGTCGTGGGGGGCTGCTAGGTGGGTCACAGGTAAGGGAAGAGCAGCGAGAGGTTGTCGCGGTGCGGAAAAACTGGCTGGAGTTGTAGGAAGTGGCTGCCCGTGGTCAGATTAGGGTTTGATGAAGAAGAAGAAGAAGAAGAAGAGAGGGTGGAGGAGGGAGAGAGGAGATGAAAATGGGTGCGAAGAAGAAGAAGAAGAAGAGAGGGTGGAGGAGGGAGAGAGGAGATGAAAATGGGTGCGACGAGGGGTAGGATTGAAGATGGGTAAGATTAGTATGTTAAAAAGTGTAAAAAGGAAGTGTATAAATTTAATTGATTGTAATAAGACAATGAGTGTAAGGAGATAGAATTGTGGTCTAAATAGAATGATTTAAAAAAAAAATTAGAAGTACAATAGTAAGCATAAAAAAATTACTTTAGAATAACTCTAAAATTACTATAGAAGATTCAGACTTATAAAGATACTGGTTATAGATTTGGTCACAAAACGTGGATGAATAGATGAGAGATTTTAAAAAGTTGATGCCCCCAAAATTTTTTTGTAAAATCACTCTACTTTTTTAAGACTATTTTTGAGATTTTTGTTTTCCTTATTTTTTATCGTTTTTAATGAAATTTGTTCATATTTTGACAAGAAAATTTTATGGTTTTTAGATGCATATATATAATCTAGACACAATTAATATATATATATATATATTTCTGAAGAAATCTCTTTTTTTTCCTTTTTTTTTAACTAAATGCCAAAAACTATGAAAATGTATTTTTTTAATTTTTTTTTACACAAATATGTTGCTTTTTATATATCTAGATTATGTGAATCTCAAAAGTAAAAACAAATGATTAAAATATTTTTTTTTCTTAAAAAGTTCACTAAAGGACCCAATAAAAATGAAAAACAAAAATCTCACAAACAGAATTTGAGTTTCAAAACCAAATAGAAATAGAAATATGTATTCTGTGTTTAATTTTTGTAATTAGTTTTTGTGTGCATAGCATAAACTTGATTTGCATTTTTTTTTTTCCAATTTTTAGGTCTGGTTTTTGGCCACAGTGTGGTGGAACATGCAGCAATGGTTGTCCTAATGACTTACTTAATGGCAGAATGGAAAGTGGATCTCCAAAAATCAGCAGCAACAGTGAATATAAACCAAGGTCTAACATCTGTGATTACATTAGCCTTTGCTCATTTGGTTGATACTTGTGTTGGTTGTTTCAAGATGGTCTTTTTCTCCACTATTTCATACGTCATTGTAAGTTGAACTCACACTTTCACTTGAGTAATTCTAGAAATTTCAAAAATTCTACTAAAAAATTTACTAAATATATCACATGAGTGTGAGACCCACACAATGTGGGTCTCATGTGGGTCCCACACTCATGTGAGATATTTGCTAGAATTTTTGGGACCTCTAGCATTTTTGCTTTCACTTTGTTTCGCAGAAATCTTTTTTTGCTAGAAAAACAATTTTCACATGATTGGTATAATGAACCGAAAGCATATTTATTTGAATAAAAAAATATTTTTTATTTTTTTAAAAGTAAAACATATTTTTTGAATTAAAAATTTATCAATGCTACCAGAGTACAACTCACACCATCACCACCTCTACCTCCGCCATCCCACCACCGCCCCATACTCCACAACTTATACATAGTCTCATTGAATTTGAAATTGAATCGATTGAGAAACTAAATTATAAAACAACTCATCTGTCGTATCATATATATGATTATTATATGTGAACACTTGAATAGGTATATTGTCACTATAATTCTTTTTTCCCCAAAAAACCTATTAATGAGATAACTTTTCTATTTATTTTTCTTCACCACCGAAGGTATGTAATAGCAAGTTAATAGGTACGTTCAAAGAAAACTCCTTGTGATTTCAACCTTCAAATCTCTTCTTGATTTCAAAAAGAAATAGCACATGGATCGCGTGAGCTCAAATGCTAGTGTGTATTTATTTATACTAATATATAAAGTGAAGAGTGAAGCTGATGTTGATTGTCGCAATTTTTTTATTTCTCCAAGTACCCCCCAACTATGATAATTGCTTTAAATTTATTTTCTTAGAACTAACTGCTTCTCACATCTAATTGTTTGTACACGCGTACTGTGTGTCCACCTCTAATATATATATATAAAATGCTATGGACCCAGATTTTTTCTCCTAGATTTTCCTGGGGTGAAATGTTTATGTTGTAGAGATTGAATTAGTATAGTAAGGCCACGTATGTTTGTCACTGCAGGCACTTAGCCTTCTATGCTCATCAACTTTGAAACTTTTTCCACATACAAAAGTCTCCTTGTTCTACATTGCACTTGCCATGATAGCCATGGGCAGGGCTGGGCGAAACTCCACACTGAAGCCATTTTTGGCTTATCAGTTCAGGGCAAAGTACCAAGAGGACGATGATGACAAAGTACAATCCAGGACAAAAGTATGTTGGAGCTTTGCCTGGCTAATGGGTATTCTTGTTACTAACTTTACGTTGCCAAATCGTCACTGGCCACAAACCCTTGAACTCTCCACATATGTGATGCTGATTGCTCTTGCCATCTTCTCTTTGGGCATGCCCTTTTACCATTGCCCTGCAACAATTGAGACTCGGAGTCCCCTCACTACAGTTTTCAAGGTCTTCAACGTTGCCATACTGCGTAGACACCTTAACGTGTATCCGCTTCATGAGAGTAATCAATCATTTACTTTGTTGCAAACAAATCAATTCAGGTTTTGATCATCTCTTTTTTGTTTATGGATGTGTATGTATATATGCATGTTTTGTTAGTGTATTTTTTAATTTAAATTCGGATTATGGATGACCTGATCAATGAGCAAATGGCCACGTTTCTCCAGGGGTCCGGGCGGCAGGTAGGTCCAACCCAATATTTGTATTTGACTTTATTTTGATCTGATTTGGTATTTTTGAATCCTTGTATATATTGGGTTATTTTAGAGTATTAGGTTTTCATTAAATGTTTACACTATTACATGGTATCAATGTTAATATCTATTTTCTGTGAATAAATATTGAATTTAATGGTGACACTGTCAAAATCACAAATGAGATTAGATAGACACTCATTGTTTCTCATTAACCCAATCATATGAGATTTTTCATTGGATGGTATATGATACCGTCACGTGATATCACCGTTATACTCAATATTTACTTTTGTAATAAAGCATTGTATTAAGAGGGTCACTTCATTGTATTCAGTAGTAGTTTGAGGTTTTTGAATACCTTAGGCTAAATATCAAAATGAGACCTTACATAACTAAATCTTTGAAAAGTTGGGATCTTAGACAATAAGAATTTTCTTTTTTAAAATTTTTATGTGGGCCTTAGGCGACTACCAAACTGATCTAATAGTTGAGCCACCTCTAATTATAAAATTAATTCATATAATGAAATTCCTTTATTGTTCTTCGCTTTTGGATGTAGTTGGTAGACTAAACCATGTAAATTCTAATGTGCTTGTGTGTTTGTTCTGTTTTATCTCGCAGATGGCTAGATAAAGCAGCTATGTTGAAAGCATCCTCAATTAATCCAGTAGAAGAAGAGAAGATGGGGAGGCTCTGCACAATTACACAAGTTGAAGAAGCAAAACTTATTCTAGAAATGGTTCCTATATGGATGGCCTTCCTAGTATACGTTTTGGTGAAATCCACTGGTGAAAATTTTTTCATTGAGCAAGCCACTCAGATGAATGGATGTAACAAGACCATCCTAGCCCTTTCTTTGATCAACTCCTTTCTCAGCCTTGTGATTTCCTGGTTCTATGTGTCAATACAAGAATACAGGATAGGTGAAACACACAAAAGGAAAGCAACCCTAGTGAGAATTGGACTAGGAATGCCCTCATCCCTATGTTGTTGCACCATTGCTTGGCGCGTCGATACCAGGAGGTTGAGTTCTTTGGATACAAACAATGGATCGATGAACATTATGTGGTTAGTTCCACAGTTTTGTTGCTTAGGACTAATGGAAGGACTTGCTGAAGATGGAATGGAAATGTTTTCTTGTTTTCATGTTTCAAAACGGATGGAGGGTTATGGGAAGGTATTCACAGATTTCGTGATTGGAATGGGTAATTTTGTGAGTGCTATCACTATTTATGCATCAAGATGATGGTTCAAAGACACCTTGAACAATAGTCATCTTGACAAGTATTACCAGAGTTGGCAATATTGAGTTATGTAAACCTTTGGTACCACGTTTATGTGTCAAGAAGAATGTTGATCAAGGGCAATTGAAAATTGTCATCGAGAAAAATGTTTAGGCTTAGGGTTATTTTGGATTTAAAATTTTGGAGTTTATAGTTTAGGATTGATACACAAAACAATGTTAGAAGAGTCACTTAATTCATGACTCTATGTTGAAAATATGTTATAAATAGTATAGTTGTTCCTGCCTCTAACAACTTAAACTTTTAGATGAGTAGTGATCAACAATTCAATATAATATCAAAGTAGTCAATGAAAGCTTTTAGAAAAGTTCATAGCTTTAATAGTCCACCTCCATGACCATCTCTCTTTTATTTATTTATAGTTAAATTATTCAGTGTGTAAAAGAAAAGAAGAAATATGTAACTCTTTATTCATCTAATGGATACAATTGTTAGTCTTTCGAAGCAGTTGAGTAGAAATTTCTTTAGAATTGCACTTGAATTCAACACATGAATGTGATTACAAATTGGCTGCCCTAATTTATGAAAGGAAAATGCCAAATTAGTAAGAATTTTATGCAGATTGACCTCATACCAAATTAGTAAGAATTTATGCAGATTGACCTCATGCCAAATTAGTAAGAATTTTATTCTCTCTACGGCTTGCTCAACTGCCTTTGGTGGACCAAATTAATTTTAATTAGTTTTTTGTTTCTCTTCCCCTTCCATTCCATTGCCTATTTTCAGTTTTTTGTTTTGGTCCACCAAAGGAAATAAATATTCCATTGTTAATTTATTGAATATTCCATTGTTAAATAAGAGTCATGTTAACGAGGCTTTTGTTTAAAAATGAAATATTTACATTGACCTCATACCATTTTACATTTTAAAAAAAAAACAAAAAAAAAATGTATAAATTTCTGTTTCAATGTCACTAATTTTTATGAAAACTCAAAACCTTAATAAGGTCCTTGAAAGCAGAATAAGAGGAAACACAAAAAGAGATCATATCCAGACGAGTAGGTGGTAATCGGAAATCAGAAAAGGTCCGGCCCATCTTAAGCCCAAAATTGACCCAAGGACTAGGGGTGAGCATGGCCTGGATTGGACTAGATTGGAATAAAATCAAATTAATCCGTTATCTATAATTTTTGAAAAATTGAAACCAATTTAGTCCGTTTAAATCGTGGAACCAATCCGGAACAATCCATTTAAACACGGATTGGATCGGTTTAGGACCATGGATTTACATAATTAAATAACAAAAAAATATATATAATACTTTAATTTCATAAAAATGTTAATGTAGCACCATATTAGTTTCACAATAGCAATATGTCTTTTTGTAATAGCAATATACTGTTCTAAAATTTAAACTACCATAAAAAAAAACTGATTCCACCATAAGCATTTAAACCATTACAAATTAACACTAAAAACTAGCAAACAAAAGTAATAAAAGAAAATACTATGCGAGTTTAGGTTTGAGTTTAAGTTTTATATAAAATAAGAGAAGATACTATGTAAGAGGGTGTATAATAAAAATATAGACTATTTGTATACGGTTCGAATCGGTTCTAATCTGGAACTGTAGGGTTCAATCCGGAACCAATCCGTGAATTACGGATTTTTAATTTTTCAATCCGGAACCGAACTACAGATTCAAAAAAACCAATCCAAACATACTAAATTGAACTAGACTGGATTGGATTACGAATTTCACGGATTCCTTACTCAGCCCTACCAAGGACGTTGTAGTTGGATTGAGTACAAAGATTATATGGCCGGCCCAGTCTAAATGAACCTTGCGGGGTTTGCAATTTTCTAAACAAAACTTGCATGTGGGCCGAGAATTGGTTGGCCTGCCCATTTTCCAAAGTATAGGTCATGGGCTTGAGACTCCCGTGAGTTAACACCCTTTAGAGAGAAGAAGATGTTTTTCACTAACAGAAAAAAGAATAAGAAAGACTTTAAAACAAAATAAAATAAAATGAAATAAAATTCGTTAGAATAGCATCATGACACATTAGTAATGGGACGATATACCATCTAAAACATAAAAGGGAGAATGAATGAAAAATCCTATTAAGAAGATAGGTGCACCAATATGTCATCTTAACTTTTTGGTACACTAAAAAGTCCTTTTAATTGTTATTCCAAAATTTTTATTTTTATTTTTTTAGAGTCTCTATAAAAAAAATATATATATCACTAATTGTTAGTTTTTAACAATAGTTTGAAAATTCGCCATAAAAAAATGTTACTAATTATTATTTTTTAATGATAGATGTAACGCCCTCAAAATTAATCTATTATATATCATTGACATGCATTATTTAAAGAAGACATTTTATTAATTCATTCATCAGAGTATTACTAAATAATCAAATAAAATGCCCTACAGGCTTACATCTTTCCAAGCCAACACTTGGTTACAAAAATACGAGTTCTAACTCAATATAAGAAAAGCCCTAGGCTTGAGTTTTTTACATGTACTAACAAATAAAAGCAGATAACAAAAAAAATAGTCTTCGGAATCCAAGTCCTTCCAAGCTAAGTCCTTGGAGGTAGCTTATCCCCTGAACCTGAAAATGATGTTCCCATAAAGGGTGAGCCACAGCCCAGTAGAAATATACTAAACCACATATAAGCAATGAATAAAGCAATAGCATTCAACAGATGGTTAACCAGGATAATCAATTACTTCATTTTACAGTCACATGACACTATTGTCTAACTACCTCTCGCTCGAGCGAACAACTCCTCGCTCGAGCGAAGAACAAAAAACCTGGACAGCAACTCTTGGTTTCTAAACCCAACCAACCTAAAACAAACCTGCCCAACACATCCTATAATTCCAAAAGAGAAAAATAAGGAATAACAACAACAACCATTAAACAATGACATAATCTATGGAACAGTCCGGATACAATAATTAAATGGGAAAAGACCGGGGTCGCTATAATAGATATAGAAAATCAGTACATGAAAACGTCACTAATTATTTTTTTTTAGTGACAAATTTAAAAACAAGTCACTAATTATTTTTTTTTTTCTTTTATAAACTCTACATACTTTTCTACTTACATATTGGGTAATTGTTGAGTTCTTTTAGAATATTACGTCACATTGCATACATGGTGATCTAAACTAATGGTGCAGCAAGAATTCATATGGATAGAATATGTGCCTCAACTTTGTTAGATAGTTAGACACCTAGAATGATCCACCAAGTATAAGTTTTGATTTTTCATTGACAAAAAATAACACGTATACAAATAGTACTAGGACTATCTAATTATTGTTATTGAATGATTAAAATCAACGATAATATTTGATCTTTCAAATTTCTCTTCACTCGAATAGTTCGAATTGTCTGAATGAATATCTTACATGTAAGATATTCAATTTTATCTTGTTGAAATAAAAATCTTATATTTATTCGGGCAATTTGGATAGAGAAAAATTCAATAGATGTAGTGCTACCGTAAAATCAAATCTAATCATTTAAAAAGTCAGTAGTCTTTCGTTATTTGATTTTGTAACAATAGTTTGGTAGAGAGAGAGAGAGAAGGAATTCAGTGTATTGATATGTTTTGTGTGTGTGTTTACAATGGGAAGAGTACTCTCCTTTATAGAAGGGAGAGGACCGAAAGAAGAAAGCACAAAGTTGTGCACCAAGGGAACAATAATGATTAAAGCTTTACTTTATCAATAATTACATTTCTACTTTACAACTAATTACACAGCTATACACTAACATGCTCCCGCAAACTCAAGGAGAGTAAGCATCAACCACCTTGAGTTTGGAAACAAGATCACTGAAGCGACCAAGAGGATGAGCCTTTGTGAAAATATCAGCAGGTTGATCGGTAGACACAATAGGGAGAAGAAGAACAGTGCCACGTGTAACATGCTGGCGAATGAAATTACAATCAATCTCAATATGCTTGGTGCTATCATGGAAAATATTATTGTGAGCAATTTGAATGGCACTCTGATTATCACAATAGAGAGAGGTAGCACCAGAGGAAGAAAAGCCCATATCAGCAAGGAGCCATCGAAGCCAAAGAAGTTCCTGAGTAGTATCAGCAAGAGCTCGGTATTCAACTTCAGTACTAGCGCGGGCAGTGAGGGATTGTTTCTTACTGTGCCAAGAAAGAAGAGAATCTCCTAAGAAGAAACAAAAACCCGTGGTGGAGCGTCGATTCGTAGGGTCACCAACCCAATCAGTATCAGAAAAGGCACACAGTTCAAGAGAGGATGAGGCAGAGTAGTGAAGGCCATGGAACAGGGTGCCTTTGAAGTAGGGAAGTATGCGGAGTAGAGAAGTATAATGTGGAGTGCGGGAAGTCGGCATGTAGTGACTAACAATATGAACAGCATAGGCAATGTCAGGACGAGTTACAGTGAGATAGACAAGACTACCGACAAGTTGGCAATAAAGAGTAGCATCAGAGAGAAGATCCCCATCGAGATAAGTGAGTCGAATCTGAGGATCAACTCGAATAGAGATAGTCTTGCAATCTGTAAGACCAGCACGTGCCAGAAGATCGGATGCATATTTGGCATGGGACAAATAGGAACCAGTGGAATCATGGGAGATTTCAAGGCCTAAGAAGTAGTTAAGAATACCAAGATCCTTCATCTTAAACTGAGGATAGAGAAAACATTTGTGGTAAAGAATACCAGCTGCATCATCACCAGTGATAATCATATCATCCACATAAAGAACAAAAGAGTGGTACCATGAGCAGTAGTCCGAACAAATAAGGCAGAGTCATGAGAGCTAGAGGTGAACCTGAAGTCATGAATGGTAGAACTGAACTTAGCAAACTAAGCGCGGGGGGCTTGCTTGAGACCATAGAGGGCACGCTGCAGTTTGCAAACCTTATGAGTTGGAAAAGTAGACCCAGGTGGAGGTTGCATATAGACCTCCTCAAGAAGATGACCATTAAGGAAA